ATCTTCAACATGGAGCGACCGTTAGTGTGACGTCACCTCGTTAAGTCATTCTGATTTAACCCTCACCCTGGCAGGGGGGTCGATGCGACCCCCCCTAAGGTTTTTCGAAGATAGCGTAAAAACGGCGGCGCGCAGCGCCGCCAAATTTGGCACAGCCTATGGGGCAACCTTTTTACATATGACCTGAAAATTTCAGGTCCGGGTGACCTTGGGTCAGGTCACCAGGTCACAAAAACCGGTACAAGGTCATGGTCAAATTTCAATTTTCTTTTTGCACTTGTCCAACTCACATTTTTTGACCGATTTCCTTCAAACTTTCAGGATGTGCTAAGTTCATCGAGTTGTATAACATATCGTCCGGCTTTTTTGAGGTCACTGACCTGAGGTCAGTTAGAGGTCATTACGTCGTTATGTTAAGCCTATGGGAAAATACTAAATTAGGAAAATACTGGAGATATCCGCTTCGTTCTATCACTTTTGTGCTTTGAAACCACGGTACTTAGCAGCAGGTCACTTGGTGCTTCTTTGTTTGGTGTACTTATCCATGGGTCAGGTCAAATGAGGTCAACTGAGGTCAAATGACGTTTTTGCCAATAACTTGGCACATAATGACGCTAGAGCTTAAAAAATGGTATCATTGTGTTCCTGGTGATCAGCCGAATCGAATGATATGCGATATGATGCAATTTGGTTAACTTGAACTTAATTTATTAATTTAAGTTTACTTAAAATTTAAGAAAAACTTTAAGTACACTTAAGCAAGCTAAAAAGTATATCATTCGACGCGCCTTGACGTGCTGAGTTTACTGGTGCTTTTCCTTTTGCTCTATCTTAATTAGATCAAAAGTTATAAGCGAAAAACTTTTGACCTGTTTTTAGCGAAATTTTTACATTTATACCCCCCAAAACCCCCCTAAATATTGACATAGAGCAACCAAATTTGCACAGGGGCGAGAACTCCAGGGGTCCCACCTACCTACCAAATTTGGTGTTTCTAGGTGCCATAGGAGCCAATCGCGAGGGGGGGGGTCGCATCGACCCCCCCCCCCTGCCAGGCCGTGTTATGAAAAATGCCCTGCCAGGGCGAGGGTTAAATGGGATTTATTCGTTGAAAAATCGCTTAAAACTTGGTCTGAACTTTGTTGTGGTGCCTACAGAGTAAACAGAATCAGCTTTATGACAGTAATGTGGCCTGGGGAAGGAGGTAATTTTGGGCTGTGACGTCACATATTTGAAAGTCTGTGTTTGGAATATGGGAAGCCTGATGTTTAATGAAAAATAAATGCCAGAACCGTGTTCCTGGTCATCCAATCTATAAAGTCGGGCACAATTTAACTGGTTTTAACAACATTTTAGAAGGTGGGATAGTCCCTTTAACGCCGAGAAAACGTTTATATCTACTCAGTCAGTGTTAGACTACCTAAACTGATTGTATCACATGACCTGCTTTATTGTAATACCAGCTATTCTTAGCTATCTTTACCTAAAAAATCCGGGTTTTTCACGAGTACCAAATCGGTACTAGTTTTACGGGTTATCCTACCTCCAGAAAACGAGTATCAATACCCTTCATTGTTTCGCATGAACTATTATTACGTACAAATACCAGTGATTCTAGGGTATTACTAGCCACAAAATCTGGGTATTTTTGGAGTACCAAATCGGTACTACATTTACGGGTTATCCTACGCCGAGAAAACAGGTAGCTCAACCTTTTTGCGTCAACGGTCAAAATACCGAATTTATTTGTGTCACATGACCTTCTCACACGTATACGTACCGAATTTGTTCGTGTCACATAACCTGCTCACACGTATACGTACCAGTGATTCTTTGGTATTGTTACCTCTAAAGCCTTAAAGTTATCCGAAAGTTATAAGGTACTTTAACCCGCGCCCTGGTGGGGTCTGTTTATAACGCGACCTGGTGGGAGGGGCTATTTTTTGCCCCCCCCCCCTCGTATCTCCGAAACTACTGGACGGATCCGCAAAATTCAAACGGCGTTCGAAAGGCCTGTCAAATTTGTCGAAGGAAACCAAATTTTATTGACCTTGGGGTCACCGATGACGTCACAGGTCAGGTCAAAGATGAAATGTTTCACCGTTCACGGGTCTTCTAGGGAATGCGCTATAACACCGAGGAAAACGCATTTTGTCCAGAATCAGCGATAGGGCGTCAGTTGCCTAGTAGATATGTTGCTGTTAGAGGTCACTGGTCATACCAGGTCAGGTCACAGGTCAGGTCACCAAAGGTCACCAAGGGTCACCACATGAACCCAACTTTACTAAGGTTGTGCGATGCATGTTTTATGGCCAGTTTTTCATTTCCAACTCAATGGTGTTGGTTATAAGACCATCAGGTACGGTTTAGGTCACTTTCTGGTGGAGGTCAGGTCAAGGTCAGGTCAAAAAAGGTCAAATTTCAAAGTTGATATTTTTGCATAAAATGGGTATTGATTCGATGCAGCTCGTCACGGGGAGTCTAATGGTGGTCTTTGTTTTGCGCTACGAGGTCTAGAATTGCTGAAAATTGAGTTTGAAAATTTGACGTCATCAATTTTGAACAGTTTTTTTCGCTATAACTTGGCCAAAAAAAGAGGTATCGATCTCAAATTTGGTATGTAGATAGAAGGCGGTAGGGACTATCACATATATTCCGGTTTTTTCGAAGTTCAAAAAACTTTTTTGATTTTTCGGCTATTATATTCAAAAAATCTATTTTTTGATTTTTGGGGGTCAAAATCCAAAAATTTTAAAAATCCGTGATAGCAGTTTTGTAGCCCTGTCCATTCTACAGCTTTTATGTCTGTATCATTTTTCTGTATTTGCAAAGCTATAGGCCTGACAGCTCTTCCCGCGAAACCCTTTTTTGGGTCGAAAACGGCAGAACATGACGTCACTCTGACGTCATTTCCGGCCAACCTATCGTAGCCTATGGAAACATTTTTGGTCACAATGTGTAAAATTGATGTCCGGGAGGGTACTGAAAGTTTGGTGACGATCGGCGCAGTGGTTCTGGAGATATATCGAAAAGTCTGGAGGGGGGGGGGGGCAAAAAATAGCCCCCCCCCACCAGGTCGCGGGTTAACACCATGCTTTATTTGTGCTACACTTGTCGCAGTTTGCTATAAATAGAACAAAACAAAAACTGTTTTCGAAAAAATCGGCTATTTTTGCAGTTTTTGCCCCCTGCAGGCAAAACCATTGACGTTAGGTCAAATCTGAGAGAATTACTCAGAAAGGGCGTTAATAGGGCTATCGAATGCGCTTTTCCGCGGCGCTGTAGCTCTATTGGTTCCCGAGTTATGCGTTGGCTTCTTGGAAATGTTCTACATTCGACCTGGAAATCGGCGAAATGTTGCCTTCAATGACCTCTGGTGACCTGCCCTTTGACCTGACCAAAAAATTGACCGAAGTTATTTCGTCATCATTTTTGACGCTCTTTCGAACGCCGCCTTCCGCGTATCGCTACGTGGCCCAGGAGCCGAGTTACAAGGGGGGGGGTGTTCAAACACCCCCCCCCCCAGCAGGGCGTGGAAATCCAGGACCCCCAGCCGGGCGCGGGTTAACCTGCGCCCCACTGGTGCCTGCGTGTAACGCACCCTTCTGGGGGGAGGGGGGCTCTTCATAGCCCATCCCCCTAACTCCGAAACTAGTGGACCGATTGTCCAAATTCAAACGGCGTCTTATAGCCATGGAAACTGTCGAGCGAAACCTAATTTCATTGACCTCGAGGTCACCGATGACGTCACAGATCAGGTCAAAGTAAAAATTATCAATGCTTGGCTTGTTCACATTTTGGGCTCCGGCCGCCGGCTTACAAGTCAGATCAGGCTCCTTTTTAGTTTACACACTCGTGATTCGATGCTTTAGGTACTCTGAGGGTACCAAACTTGTACTTTGATTTTCAGGTCAGGATCAGGTCATCCCAGGTCACGGACATCTTATATCAAGCACCGGTCAGGTGACACATGTTTTATGGTCCATTTAGGCCATAGATTTGGAATTCGGTGTCGTTTGACATTCGAGGTCATTTTGACTTGAATTTAGCCGAGGTCAGGTCACGTTCAGGTCCACGAGGGCCAAAGTTAAAAGATGAAATTTTTTCAACAAAAAGGTTGTATCGAATGCAGTTTGTGATCAGGAACACAATGGTGCCATTTATATTGTTGTACGATGTCCAATACGTACTGAAAAACAATGATTTGAAGAAAAAAATATGATTGTTAAATTTTGAGAAGTATGCGCATCTGGCTGACCTTATCCTCACTTCTGTATGGAAATATGAAATTGCCAAAATAAATTACTGTATTAAAAATCGAGATATTTCGAGCACAGCTCTTCGTCGGTCGATTGTAATTATTTACACACATAACAGGCACACAATGTCGAATTCGTCTCAAGTTCTTCAGTAATGTCGCAGTAAGAAATTTAAATACACAGATCCCGTGCAAATTGATCACCCTAGTTCCTACCTTAAAAATATATCTACACATAATTCCCCAGTTAAACTAGCAGTACATATATAGGTATCTTTCAAGAACCAATTCACACACATTTATATACATTATTTTGGAAGAAGCTGCCATGATGTAGTGTTATCGTTAATTTTGGGCCTGGCGTCTCGGATGAAGATGGATTCAGCGATTCTTCTATCCGCTTCGTCTTTGCATACACGCAGGATTTTGGCCGTCACCGAGATGTCGCGTCGATCCATCTCAGGGTGCTTATGCAGCGCATGCTCTCCTAGGGGAGTGTCCTCTTCTCTGTTAATGCCGTTCCTCCGATGCTCGTTGTAGCGGAGTCTAACTGGCCTGCTCGTTTCTCCGATGTAGGTGTCGCCGCAGTGACTGCAGGTAAGTTCATATACCACGTTTTTGGTCGTGCACTTGGACTGTAGCCCCGCCTGGCATGAATGACAGCACCTTCGTCCCGAGGGGCAGGGGGCTGGGTTCAGTCGTGTCTTGACCAGTCGTTTCTTCAGGGTGTTGTAGGCCAGTTAGACTCCGCTACAACGAGCATCGGAGGAACGGCATTAACAGAGAAGAGGACACTCCCCTAGGAGAGCATGCGCTGCATAAGCACCCTGAGATGGATCGACGCGACATCTCGGTGACGGCCAAAATCCTGCGTGTATGCAAAGACGAAGCGGATAGAAGAATCGCTGAATCCATCTTCATCCGAGACGCCAGGCCCAAAATTAACGATAACACTACATCATGGCAGCTTCTTCCAAAATAATGTATATAAATGTGTGTGAATTGGTTCTTGAAAGATACCTATATATGTACTGCTAGTTTAACTGGGGAATTATGTGTAGATATATTTTTAAGGTAGGAACTAGGGTGATCAATTTGCACGGGATCTGTGTATTTAAATTTCTTACTGCGACATTACTGAAGAACTTGAGACGAATTCGACATTGTGTGCCTGTTATGTGTGTAAATAATTACAATCGACCGACGAAGAGCTGTGCTCGAAATATCTCGATTTTTAATACAGTAATTTATTTTGGCAATTTCATATTTCCATACAGAAGTGAGGATAAGGTCAGCCAGATGCGCATACTTCTCATGATGATATTCCTCAGAACGCTTAACCACTTACGATTGTTAAATTTTTACTAAAATGCGTGTAACTTGACCATTTTTAAGATATCCGGCTAAAACTTACTACAACAGGTCATGATTATGTGTTTTATCACACATATTCCGTGTTTTAAGTAAAAAAGGTTTGGAAAAAGATATAAATATAATTTTTTAAATTTCATAAATATAATTATTAAAATTTTCATAGTTTTGAAAATCCGACATAGCAGTTTAATAGCACAGTGCATTCTGAGCCCTCTCATGCAAAGAAATCGGATCTAGCCTAAATACAACCCTTAACCCGCGCCCCACTGGGGTCTGCGTATAACACGCCCTACTGGGGGGGGGGGGGGGCTCTTCATAGCCCCCCTCCTATCTCCGAAACTGCTGGGCCGATCGTCAAAATTCAAACGGCGTCTAATAGCCCCGGAAAAAATGTCGAGCTAAACCTGATTTCATTGACCTCGAGGTCACCGATGACGTCACAGGTCAGGTCAAAGTAAAAATTATTAGCATTTTGGCTTGTTCACGTTTTGGGCTCTGGCCGCCATCTTACAAGTCAGATCAGGCTCATTTTTGGTTCACACACTCGTGAACCGATGCTCTAGATACCCTGAGGGTACCAAACTTGTACTTTGATTTTCAGGTCAAGGTCAGGCCATCACAGGTCACGAAAATATTATATCATGCGTCGGTCACGTGACACATGTTTTATGGTCTATTTAGGCCAAAGATTTCGAATTTGATGTCGTCTGTGTCATTCGAGGTCATTTTGAGTCGAATTTAGCTTAGATCAGGTCAAAAAAGGTCCAATTTTGAAGTTAAAATTTTCAACAAAAAAGGTGTCTATTGGATGCAGATTGAGCTCAGGAACAGGATGGTGCTACTTATATTGGCGTACGATGTCATATACGTGCTGAAAAATTGATCTGAAAAAATAATAATTGTGATTTTTTTTTGCAATAATGCGTATAACTTAACCATTTTTGAAGATATCTAGCTAAAACTTGCTAGAGTTGGTTATTAATGCGTTCTTTCACATATATACCGTTTTTTCTCTCAAAAAATCAAAAACTTTTTGAAAAAATGTAAAAATATAAATTTTGAATTTTGTTATATTAAATTTTCGAAATGTTCAAAATTTCGAAAACCCGAGATAGCAGTTTGATAGCGCAGTCTATTCTGAGTCCTCTCATGCAAAGAAATTGGATCTAGCTTAAAAACTGAGCTCTTGGGAGCGATTGCCGTGGTTCAGTGTTTTGCGTCGAAATCGACCGAACTTGACGTCACTCTGACGTCATTTCCGGCCGACCTATGGTAGCTACGAAGTTCATATTTTGACATTAGGTGTCAAATTGATGAAGCCGAAGGTACTGAAAGTTTGGCGTCGATAGGTCAAGCAGTTTGGAAGTTATTGCAGAAAAACGGGAGGGGGCTATGAATAGCCCCCCCCCCCCCAGTGGGGCGCGGGTTAATAGCGATTGCCGCAGTTCAGAGTATTGCGTTGAAATCGGCCGAACATGACGTCACTCTGACGTCATTTCCGGCTCACCTATGGTGTTATGTTGAAAGATACCGTTCAACATGACGTATATTTAACCCGCGAGTTGCTGGGGGGGGGGGGCGTTAAACGCCCCCACTTTTTTCGACGTCGGCCATTTTTTTTGACGTCGGCCAGCGGCGCAGAGCGCCGGCGGACAGTGGCCCCCAACTTAGTCATGGTCGGTTCTCAAACCGCCCGCCATACAACATATGGTAGCTATTAAATTCATATTTTAACACAAGTTATCAAATTGATGCAGCCGAAGGTATTGAAACTTTCGCGTCGATACGTCTAGCGGTGTAGAAGCTAGTGCAGAAAAACGAGAGGAAGGCTATGAATAGCCCCCCCCCCCCTTCCCCCTGTGGAGCGCGGGTCAATCGTCGCCCGTATTTGCGTGTTGCCCTCGTAACGAGAGGAAGCCGATGAAACCCTATTTCAAAGAGCTGAGTCATTGGGTGACTTTCCAGGCCAAGTCAAGGACCCAAATGTGGGGCAAATCGGGACCTGCTAATGCCATATTACCTCATGGTTACCTAATATACTTGACCATGGATTAGGTATTCCTTTTTCTTACATCTAGGAATACTTCATCCATGACTTGACCCAGGATAAGTCGACATAAATAACCTTGGATGATCTGTGTGACCTGGCACACCCTTCCGCTGCACATCAGCATGCTAAGCACAAATGTCATATCAGCCAGTCTAGCTTGAAAACTGGCATGATGTATGTAGATAAACTACTACCACGTTAGCCTTAGCGTTGAGATTTCGACAAATTATCATTGACCTTGACCTAAAACTTGACCTCAAAACTCAGCTTTTAAAAACCTGGTGGGATAGTGTGACAAAGAGCTGTTGCAGCTGGCTTGGCACCACAATAGGGCAGCGTCATCGATATGTGATGAGCAGCGCACTTGATATTCCAACGGTGACCCAAACAGTATTCTTTCTTTTTTAGTTTAGTTTTTTTTTAGTTTAATCCCCCCACACCCAAGTGCTCGTGTAAATTTGAGTAACTCGAGGGTACTGAAAGTTTCGTCGCGATCGGCCGCTTTTTGCGCCTTATTCGCGAAAAAAGCGAAAGCTTAGGGGCTCTGTTTAACCGCTTCCCTCACTTAAAGTGCAAATGTAAACCCTCGCCCCGTTGGGGGGCGAGGGGGGGGGCAATTTGCCCCCCCCCCTTTTCCTGAATAGCAAGAAAACGGCGGCGCGCAGCCAAATTTTCAGTACCTTCCCGGACATCAATTTGACACCTTAACAGCAAAATTTCAAGTCTTAGGTCACCTTAGGTTAGAAGTTATTGAGGTCAAACTGGGGTCATGTTCGAGCAAAATGAGCAAAAAACATGAAATCTTGAAACGCTCACAAAAGCTACAGTTAACAAGCAATTTCAAAGTTATTTATGTTGTCATGTAGAGAAAAGACGGCGCTACAAAACTGCGATTTCGGATTTTCAAAATTTTGGGATTTTGACCCTCAAAAATTAAAAAAGTTGATTTTTTTTTTTAGAAAAACGCAAAACAAATCCCACATTTTTTTCCGAATTTCGAAAAAAAGGAATATATGTGATAGTCCATGCGCTCTTCTATCTACATACCAAATTTCATATCGATACCTCTTTTTTGGTCAAGTTATAGCAAAAAAAACTTCAAAATTGATGACGTCAATTTTTTAAATCTATTTTTTTTTTTGCAATTCTAGACCACGTAGCGCAAAACAACGACCACCATTAGACTCCCCATGACGAGCTGCATCGAATCAATACGCATTTAAAGGTAGTGTGCCAGCTTTCCTGGACCGTATGGAGTTAATGGCCCAGATAAGGAGAACCGGATTTTTAGAACTTATCCATACCTTCAAAACTCATGGAAACGTCTTAAATTCTTCAAATTTTGAGCACCCCAGTGCAAAATTCGCCCCGACGGGTTGTCGGTCGTACCCCAACCACATTTCACACCACTATGAACAATAAATGCACACACTGAAATCGCTATTACCGATAGGCTCATCCAATCAAGTTTCGATAAACTCGTTCATCATCATCTCCTGCGGTTTCGAACACGCCTGTTAGATGGTGCGGTAGACCGCGCCCAAAGCCAGGGCCCCGGTAACGTGAGGTAGCCGAGTCGGGGCAGCGTGCGCTGACCCAAGCCGGGGCCGCGCGTCCTCCCGGTGTCATGTGATAGCCCGGGGCTGCCCGCGGGGATGCGGTAGACCGCGCCCAAAGCCGCGGCCCCGGCTTGGGTCAGCGCTAGAGATGTCAATCGGATACCAACTTGTTGGTATACCGATACCAAACCGATACCAACTTGGTATTTGGTATGTCAATCGTAATGTGTTTGGTATTTTGTTGGTATCATAAGCCCTCGCTAATGTATAAGAGGCTGAGAAATCGGTAAAAAGTTGGTATTTCCCTCAGTTTCCCAAGTTGGTTTGGTTTCGGTATTTTCCCGTGGTTTTGGTTGGTATTTGGTTTGGTATCGGTATTCCGATTTTCCGTAATTGACATCACTAGTCAGCGCACGCTGCCCCGACTCGGCTACCTCACGTTACCGGGGCCCTGGCTTTGGGCGCGGCTTCTGCTCATACTTTGTGGTGCGGTGGTGGTGCTTCGGGCCGCGCGCTCTGACTTCGGCCAAGAAAAATGCGTCAGCTGATCATTGTCATTTCTGCCACTTTCATGTGGTGAGATGGGGTCATAACTTTAGAGACGGCTGTTTCATATCAATTATTTTACATAAAATAATATTTCAAACCATAAATTAATGTTCGACAGCCAAATTAAAGAAACAATACCAATACAGGCTTACAGTTTAAATTCGACATTGTGTTGTCTACGATTAGACAGCTGATAACTCATTCCCGTACGTCGTAACTCTATAATGACCTTTGTTTATTGTCACATGTGCGCCGCATTCGTGATTGTTGCCGACGCCTGTTTGCAGCTCAGCCCACTACAGTTGTTATACATATCGAAAAACCGATAGACTTTTAGGCGAAAAAAAGCACTATTTTAGGCCCATTTTTGATTTTTTTTGCGATATTAGGTAAAAACAGAAACTTCTTATCCTAGGAAAAATAAAATGGGAAATCATTTGAAGGTGGCACACTACCTTTAATGCAAAATATCAAGTTTGAAATTTGACCTAATTTGACCTGACCTTGACCTGACCTTCACCAGAACATAACCTAAACTGGCCCAAAAGGCTGCTTGACCCACATAATCGCATTTGGTATGTAATCTGCAGCGGCCGCCGGGCAGTGGGGGTCAGGCGGAGGAGAGGATCGGGTTTGCGCGTCGTTTGGTGTGCAGGTGCCGACCAGGGCAGTGGAAATACAGTTCCGGCTTACATGGTAGGGTAGGGTGGGGTAATTTGAACATGTGGGGCAATTTGAACATAGTGTGAATAACACAAAATTACGGAAAATCCATAAGTGGTATGACAATAAGACCAACGAGAGAAATTATCGTAACTAAAAGGGCTATCATATGAACGGGGTTTAAAGTTTCAGGGAATGAAGATGTTTACGCACAGTGTAAAAAATCAATTTCGCAAGGAAAAACGCCTAACAACACGTCATTGCAACTTCATTGCAGCGCAAAATCTTGCATTGCTAGCGCCTAATACGCAACGGCTTTTGTTGTATAATGACCTAATCAGTGCCTTCAATCCAAGAAATTTGCTTTTGAACCCTGTTTTTTAAAATGGCAAAATAACTTTTAGCGTGGGGTAATTTGAACATAGTGTGAGAATTTCAATGAAGACAGGGATATCTCCGAAAAAACAACGCTCCCAGTTTTTTTGCCAATATTTTCGAACCAAAGCAGTAGCAGATAAGTGATGCCAGTTTTAGAAAATTTACGTCTAATATCCGTCTAATGTCCGGCATTTTCGTTGATTTTCCGTCCAAAAATGTTAAAGTCAACTATATGTCCAAATATGTTCGAATGTTATGCAGCTATCAACACTCAAAACCGTCATTTATATTGCTTATCATGTAATTTTACCTGCCGAAAAGTGTTCATTATATTGAGAGCTTAACAAGCTTTCCATTCGCCAATCAATGCTATGCACGATTGCTTTATAAAAAGCGCTGAAGTGTAGCAAGCTATCGTCCAATGCTGTCCAGTCTGCTACCTTTGTCCAACCAATTCCGAATTGGACATTGGACAAAATCAGAACTCCAAATGTCCAGGTTTCGATTGGCACCACTTTAACAGATGTAGTAAGGTTGGGAGAGTTTTTATCGAACAAAAATGATAGACGTTCTGTTAACCCGCGCCCGGCTGGGGGTCCTGGATTTCCACGCCCTGCTGGGGGGGGGGGGGGTGTTTGAACACCCCCCCCTTGTAACTCGGCTCCTGGGCCACCTAGCGATACGCGGAAGGCGACGTTCGAAAGAGCGTCAAAAATAATGACGAAATCACTTCGGTCAATTTTTTGGTCAGGTCAAAGGTCAGGTCACCAGAGGTCATTGAAGGCAAAATTTCGCCGATTTCCAGGTCGAATGTCGACAATTTCCAAGAAGCCAACGCATAACTCGAGAACCAATAGAGCTACAGCGCCGCGGAAAAGCGCATTCGATAGCCCTATTAAAGCCCTTTCTGAATAATTCTCTCAGATTTGACCTAACGTCAACGGTTTTGCCTGCAGGGGGCAAAAATTGCAAAAATAGCCGATTTTTTCGGAAACAGTTTTTCTGCAATAACTTTTGACCCAAGCCTTGTACGAGCTTACTTTTACCGGTATTGTGTTCCTCTCGTCAAGACGCATCGAATGAACTATAAGTTGACCTTGAAAGGTCAACTTGAAAATTTGACCTCAGGTCAAGGTCATGACCTGACCGGAAAGGGTCATGTTGCATATCAGTCGATCCGTATCGTCGAGCTGAACACATCTAAGGCGTTTTCATCGCTCTAGCATGCCTCTATCAAAAGTTGTTTGCGAAAAACTGTTAGATACCATTCGTGACCTAAGATGACCTCAGGGCATAAACAAGGGTCACGGGCACCATTTTCATGTTCAGTGTGTCTAAACCACTTGTAATTCGGTGTTTGGGAGTGTTTATAATGTCTTTTGTCCAAAAGAGGCGCATTTCAATTTTCTCCCATTGACTTATAATGGGGAGGTCGCAAAATTGACCTGACCTTAGGTCATCGATATCAAAATTCTGAGATATACATTTTGTACATGCTATTGCTCTTAGCAATCGCTGAAAGTTTCAAAGCGATCGGTCACTCGGTGTAGCTATGACAGACATTGAAACTTTTTATGAGGTGAGGTCACTTCAAGTGACCTGGTGACCTGACCTTGAATGACCTTGGTCTGAAATTTTCACAACATGTGTAGAATTGATGTACGATAAGGTGTACCAAAAACGGCGGCGCTCCGCGCCGCCGTTTTTGACATATTTGCGAAAAACCACAAGGGGGGTGTTCAAACACCCCCCCCAGCAGGGCGCGGGTTAATTGAAGAGGGGCGAATTCTGTCAACTGACCGGTGTGCAGCGTGCAGATATTAATACTCTGCAACTGTTATTTTTGCTGTTGTGTTGATTTTTCAAGTGAAGGTATGTTTATAATTGTTCTGCCTATTTGTTTATGGGTCAAACAACATCGGTGCTGGCGAGACTATCGTTTTTATGACAGGTAAAGGCAGTATGTTCAAATTACCCCACGGTGGGGCAATTTGAACACACCGTGACTTGGTGGAGAAGTGAGGCTATGCTATTCAAGGTATGCTCGGCTCGTCCAAAAATGAGGCTTGCATGGTGAAAGCAAGTGACACTTGCGCTACTGAAGCAGTTTTTCTTCATCCAGGGTTGAACTGGAATTTGGTACAACGGAGAAGACGTAAAAATATGTTCAAATTACCCCACACTACCCTATGTAAAATGGACCATAAAACATGCATCGCATGATATTTTCATATTGTGACCCTCAGTGGCCTGACCTCTGTGACCTAACCTGGTATCAGTGACCTCGAATAGCAAAATCTGTGTTTGACGAACGATTCCCCATCGATGATTTTCAATGAAATGCATTTGAGTCGATTTTACAACACATTTCTTGAAATGCCTGTAAACAGTGAAAATTCGACATTTGCCCTGACCTGTGACGTCATCAGTTTGACCGAGGTCAATGAAATTGGGTCACGAGGTAGTTCCCCGTTTGGACTATCCAACGCCGTTTGCTGCTTGTCGCTATTTTGCGTGGTTCTCGAGATCTTAGGGGGGCAAATTGCCCCCCCCCCTCCCCCAACAGGGTGCGTTGCTCGGCAGACCCCAACGGGGCGCAGGTTAACAATCAACCCCAGTTTTAACGATGACCGAGCATGGTGTTTCTTAAATCTGTTTTTTTTTCAGTCGTACAACCATGACATCGACTGCGCCACGGCGGTCGCCTGAGCCACCTGACGTCGAGGACCGGCCTTCTTCCGTGACTGATACTGAGCACAGCTGGATGGACCGTTGTAGTGGGACGGCGGTGCGCGGCATTGTCTAACGGAAGAGAAGGCGCCCTGGGATAGATGCTTCACGCGCGGGTTAATTTTATGGTGTTTGTGAGCTTCAATATGCTGGCTGCCTTTGCTTGAACTCCATGATTGTAGCAGGGATGGGTTGCAGGTATTTATTTTATATTGCGTGATAAGGTTTTGAATTCATGTCATGTGATATCGAAACAGGTTTCGGGAGTCCGGGTATTACGACAAAATATTACTCATAATATTACCGTGACAAAAAATGATTATAAACAATAAACTGGGCTTCTGGCATTGCAAATATTTCGTTGATTTATGCCAACCAACGTCTGCCATAATTCTTTGTTAACATCTCTGAAGACACAAGCTTCGTGCAATTGCTGTCAATCATTTTTTACACCTCGTTAAATCGTATGTGATCAACGCGTAAAATTGATAAAATTGATCAACGCGGGGGACGCTCCAGGCCGAACGCGCACGGCAGCAGCACCAGCTGGCTGTGGCTGAAACACGAGACCAGGGTGACGGACGAACGCAATGCTGGCGACACTGCAGCCTACAACGTTATTTAATGATCCTATATCGTGTTGTTAATTCCACACAATAATTTGTGTTTATGTACTCTGTTCGTCGCTCGAAAACTCATTAAAATAAGAACAAAACGCATCAACGAAAAGAAACAAAGCAATGGGCGTTTTGATTGGAAAGCAATGACCAGGGAAACAAGCGTTGCACCACAAACAGTATGCATGTTTGAAATACAATTGGGAATTCATGAGTTATTATGGTCAGGGTTGCGGAGCCGGAGTCGGAGCTGGAGCCGGAGCCGTCAAAAAAGGCGGCGACTCCAGCTCCTTTTTTTTTGAATAGGAAAAAAAAACTATTGACCTAGTTCGGTTTGACAGCACAAGGCCGTAAAACACGTGATATTCAAAATAGCCTTGTTATGCGAATACAGAAGCAACGTGAACCAATCTCTTCAGTCTTTTTTCTTCCACCCGTATTTAATTGTATAAAGGATGTACTGAATACTGGAGCCGGAGCCGGAGCCGATTTTTTTCTCCAGAGTCGGAGCCGGAGCAAGGGCGGCGCCACCGTGGGGGCAGTGGGGGCAGACTGCCCCCACTGGCAGGAGGCCGTGGGGGCAAGACTATGTTTTTGCCCCCACAAAGTTTGGCCGATGTTAAAGAGGGAACAGAAGACCTGCGCAACATTCATGATAGGCGGTTATGATAGTGCGCCTGTTTTTGACGGTCCCCGTATCAAGTGCATCAACAGAACGTTCGTTCTCGGACCGTCTGTCGCATATCTCCTACTCCCACTCATTCTCCTACTCATTTTCATTCACCAGAAGGCTGCCCTCGAGCTTGGCCTCGAGGAGGTTGAGAGGCAGTTTGTCAAAAGTCGGCCAGAGAAGAGATCACCCTCTTTTGGGAACCCTTAGACTGAGACTGAGCTCAGGGAGGTATGACAAAATGCGATAGGGTATGTATATCCTGGAAATCTGGAAATATATGTGAGTCGCCCTAATGGAATTTATTCTGGTATATCAATCATGTGTGAAAGAATCGCACAGATAAGTGCTACGGGACAAAAGATCTAGGTACTAATTATTGTTTTGAGGAATACACCATTTTACATCTCAACGAACAACAAAACGCTTTCACAGGTTTGTGTCTCGCAATCTAGTTTTATAGTTTTATTTGCTCGCGACCTTAACCCGGCCGGGCCCGGGGGGTAATCCCAACCACCGCAGCCCGGGGGTAGCCCCCCCCCCCCAGCGTAATTCTTTTTTCCACCCAAAGGAAGGCGCTATACGGAGAATATCCCATTGCGTCATTGAAAAGTGACTTACACCTCTCACCGGCCAGCTGGCTGCGTGGTGTAGTGGTGACTGGTGAGCACACTCGCCTCGTGATCTAATAACTAGGGTTCGATCCCCGCCGCCGGCCGAACTTTTTGGCGCGTTGTAGGTTAGGTTGTAGGTTTGTAGGTTGTAGGTTTGTAGGTTGTAGGTCTGTAGGTTAGGTTGTAGGTTAGGTTGTAGGTTGTAGGTTTGTAGGTTGTAGGTTAGGTCAGGTGAGGTTAGGTTATGTTTGTTTTTGTTTGGTTTGTTTACCAAGAAGCATCTTCGGGTATAGCGCCTTCCTTTGGTTGGAAAAAAGAAACACGCCCCCCCCCCCCCCCCCCACCTGTCTAACACCGTAAATAAGGCAGCTACGGAAACAAAAATGGTACAAAACGAAAGGTATCTACGATAAGATTCTAAAGCATCTAAACTTTTGACCCCAGGTCAAAAGTGGCGGAACGGGGAGGGCACCGGGGCACCGTGCCCCCCTTTGATCTTGGCATTTTAACATTAGCCCTATGGGCGTTGCATGGAAAGAATGGGACCAAAAGTCGGCAGTGTCTTGATTGATGGTGTTCCGGCGCTACTGCGTCAGGTCAATTTTCAAGGTCAGAAGTCAAGGTCAAAGGCAAAAACCGGCACTTTTGTGTTGGTCTCAAAGTACGTGTTTCAGAGGACGGCATGGTGCACAAAACCGGCTAAAATGGATGTTAAACGAAAGAAGAGAGTCTGGGGATTCCGACGATGTGCATAACATTCAAAATCAAGGTCACGGTCATGCTCAAAATTTACCACAAACTTTGCACTTTTTCTTATATCTTGTATACTAAATTCCGAGATGTACTAATTGTTTTGAAGCTTAGTGCTTTAGGTATTTGTGCTTTAGCTTACGTTACATGGCTGCTACAAGGTCAAAGTCACAAGAGAGTATCCTTGCTAGAGGATGTTTCACTTACTCAAGTCAGGTATAATAATTAAGACATGTTTTGCCATCCTGAGGCTCTAAATGAATGCTTAGAGCGGAATGGATCCCAGAATCGTGATCAGCGGCTAGGAAATCATCACAAACGACCTTTCATGTGTCAAAGTCAACCATAGGTCATTCGAGGTCACATGAGGCCAACATAAAACGTGACCTAATACATATGTCATTCGACGCGTCTCGACGAGACGAATGCGAAGGTAGCACTGCCGTAGCTCTATGACCATTTTTGTTGAAGTTATTTTCGAAAAAAAACACTTAAGCTCCTGCTCCAGCTCGGGGTCGTTGATCTGACCTCTGACCTCAGGTCACCAAAGTTACTTAAGCATTTTGTCTAGGTCAAATGCTACACAACCGTGCTCGTAATTTATCTTCATCTCTGAAACTCTTTTTTTGGCAGCTGGTTGAAGTTCACGTCTGTGACGTCGAAGTTTGTCGTGCAGGAGTCTAGAAAAATCGGCCCTGAGACGTTATCAAGGAGGCTAGGTCCAAATGTTTTGCTTCAAAAGATGTCAAATTAATGGGGGATAGGGTACAGCAAGTTTCGTCTTTCTATCCCTAAGCGTTCACGAGATATCGTAAATATTCGCCAGGGGTTGGTTAAGCTCAATACGTAGGTATGCATGAAACCTGAAACCATAATCATTTTGAATGGCAACACCTAGGGGCAAGGTGCTCATTGGATTTTGCAGATCGGCGTATCAGACAACAGTCGGGTCACCTCAAGCTTGCCCCCACTGGCGAAAATTCGTGGCGCCGCCACTGAGCCGGAGCCGTCTGAAATTTCCACGGTTCCGCATCCCTGATTATGGTGTTAGAAAATGCTCATGATACAATGAAATGAGAGTGGAATAAGACCAAAAATATGAATATAATTCGACTTGCATCGTCTTCAGGATGTGCATTATCCTCAGAATGTAGGCGACGAGAGTCGAAATATTTCATAATATTTTTGGTCTTATTTCTCTCTCATTTCATTGTATCATGAGCATAAGGTCATTTTCTAACACCATAATATTCATAATAATGCTCAAACTAGCCATAGCTCAGTAGCTCACCTTCAACAATTCATGACTTACCTGTGAAATGAGAGATACATCTCCATCTAGTCGGTGTGAGCGAGCAGAAACTGTTTGACGGCGTCTGTTTCTGGCTCTGAGAACGGTCTCGACCCGCCATACACCTGACTGCACGGGTTGCTGGAGGTACCCACCTGAACGACACGGACGAGCTCTGGGTTATGTCGCTGTGAGAGCAACACTGAGTGACTGAGGGCAGGCCAATTTTCGTTCGTAGCTCTCTGTGAGCGGATTCATTGGGGACGATTCTCTGCACATTCAAATATTGTAGAAATGCAACACTGCTTTTCTTATATTAGGAACTTTGGGAACAGGAAACCTTTGTTATCATTATTTTAGGTAGGTACCTTGCAATTGCAAAAGCATTGTTGAGTCACATTCAATATTTTATTCGGATTTTCAACCGAAGTCTTGGTTTCAATGTTAATTATGGATGAACACTGCCTCATTTAAACGAAATTTGAGTCACGTTTTCATTAAAGGTAGTGTGCCAGCTTTCCTGGACCGTATGGAGTTAATGGCCCAGATAAGGAGAACCGGATTTTTAGAACTTATCCATACCTTCAAAACTCATGGAAACGTCTTAAATTCTTCAAATTTTGAGTACCCCAGTGCGAAATTCGCCCCGACGGGTTGTCGGTCGTACCCCAACCACATTTCACACCACTATGAACAATAAATGCACACACTGAAATCGCTATTACCGATATGCTCATCCAATCAAGTTTCGATAAACCCGTTCATCATCATCTTCTGCGGTTTCGAACACGCCTGTTAGGTGGTGCGGTAGACCGCGCCCAAAGCCAGGGCCCCGGTAACGTGAGGTAGCCGAGTCGGGGCAGCGTGCGCTGACCCAAGCCGGGGCCGCGCGTCCTCCCGGTGTCATGTGATAGCCCGGGGCTGCCCGCGGGGATGCGGTAGACCGCGCCCAAAGCTGCGGCCCCGGCTTGGGTCAGCGGCCCAGCGCACGCTGCCCCGACTCGGCTACCTCACGTTACCGGGGCCCTGGCTTTGGGCGCGGCTTCTGCTCATACTTTGTGGTGCGGTGGTGGTGCGTCGGGCCGCGCGCTCTGACTTCGGCCAAGAAAAATGCGTCAGCTGATCATTGTCATTTCTGCCACTTGCGTGTGGTGAAATGGGGTCATAACTTAAGAGACGGCTTTTTCATATCAATTATTTTACATAAAATCATATTTCAAACCATAAATAATGTTCGACAGCCAAATAAAAGAAACAATACCAATACAGGCTTACAGTTTAAAGGTAGTGTGCCACCTTTGAAAGATTTCCCATTTTATTTTTCCTAGGATGAGAAGCTTCTGTTCTTACCTAATATCGCAAAAAAATCAAAAATGGGCCTGGAATAGTGCCTTTTTCGCCTAAAAGTTTATCGGTTTATCGATATGTATAACAACTGTAGTGGACTGACCTGCTAACAGGCGTCGGCAACAATCGCGAATGGGGCGCACATGTGACACTGACAATAAGCAAAGGTCATTATAGAGTTACGACGTACGGGAATGAGTTATCAGCTGTCTAATCGTAGACAACACAATGTCGAGCCTTAACCCGCGCCCCGCTGGGGGGGGGGCAGAATCTGCCCCCCCCCCTCCCGTTTTTCGCCAATAACTTCTAAACGCGTTACGCTAGCGACGTCAAACTTTCAGTACCTTATCATACATCAATTTGACACGTTCCCTGAAAATTTGAGCGAGATCCGTCAGAAAATTTTTGAGAAATTGACGTTTTAGTGACGTCATGTTCGCCATTTTCGCCTCAAAAACGGCAAAATTTCAAACGCCGCTAACATCTTCATTTTTAAAGGAATCAAGACGTAACAAAAAAGGTTATACGTGATTCTACTTTGTCTATCAAATGGCTATCTCGGTTTTTTGAAAATTTTGGATTTTGGCCAAAATTTTTCCAAAAAACTGACTTTTTTGGGAAAATATTTATAAAATCCAAAATTTTGAGTTTATCGAAAAAACCGGAATATATGTCAAAGAAGTGGTCTATGTGCACCTACATACCAATTTTTAGAAGAATCGGTTGAAAAATGTGGGAGTTATTCAAAATTTTATGACGTCACGACACACAAAAATTTTGAAAAATGATTTTTTTGGAAGTTCTAGACCTCGTACGGAAACAAAAATAGCACCATTCGATTCGCCGTGAAAAACTGCATCGATTAGACACCTTTTTAGGCCTTAACAACCAACTTCAAAATTTGACCTCACTTGACCTGACCTTGACCTGACCTCGACCTGAAATTCATCCAGAGGTGGTCCATATAACTTATTGAGTGTGCCTATTGAATTCCATGAGTAAAATGACCCATAAAACATGTGTCGCACATGCCCTTTTCTATATTTTGTTTTTGGTGACCTGACCTGACCTGACCTGACCTTGACCTTGACCTTTGAATGACATTGTGTGCAACGAATATTGTCTTGGTAGTCTAAGAACACGTTTTGGGCAATCAGTCTCAGTCCATTCTTCGGCAACTACGGTGCAAGGCCGATACTGTAGAAACTTGTATTTTGTACCCTTGACCTGACCTTGACCTGACCTCTGACCTACTTAAGCAAAAAAATTTGGGCTCTTAAGATCCGCCTTGTTGAGAGCTTTCGATTGCCGTTTTCCCCGTCTTTCTACGACCATCGGTTCGGAAGTTAGACAGGGGGGGCAGAATCTGCCCCCCCAGCAGGGCGCGTATGGCTGAATAGCCCAGCGGGGCGCGGGTTAAACTGTAAGCCTGTATTGGCATTGTTTCTTTTATTTGGCTGTCGAACATTATTTATGGTTTGAAATATGATTTTATGTAAAATAATTGATATGAAAAAGCCGTCTCTTAACCCTCGCCCGTAAACGGCGATCTGCCACCTTCGCCCATGCAGGGGGGGGGGGGGGTTGGTGCGACCCCCCTTGGCGTTTGAAAACGGAGCGTCGTAGAGCTTAGCGGAAAAGACCAACGGATTGCTCTCGCCGAGATCTCGCGATTGGTGGTATATTTTTTGGTCCTAGGTCAACATTTGACCTACTTTTGACCGGTCAAAGGTCAAATTTTCGGAAAAATAGACTTTTTTCAACTTTCGGCGGCGATTGCGGCAAAACGGTGAGAGATATCGACTTGAAACCTTCACTATCGTGTTTTTTGATCAATTCTCTATCGTTTGGTATGTATTTCGTTTCCCTAGCTCTAAAAATGGCGCGTTGGGAGCGCCGGAAGTCGGCAAGGTCACAGTCGGCGGCAGAAATTCGAAAATCAAAATTTAAATTTTTGAAATCTGATTGTATTTTTGGATTTGGGAGGTCCATTTGCTCCCTATAGAAGCTAATATTGCTGCATATTCCCATTGAGGTGACAAGAATTAGCAAAATAGTGGTTCGGGCGCTTTTCAAAAATAGTACCGGACGCTGTTCCTCTTGTGACGTCATAGCTCCGTGACCTGACCTGACCCGGTCAAGTTTCTTATACCATATGATAGCCAATACTTGCCTCAACATGAATGGGAAGTTTCATCACGATCCATCAACCGATGTCCGTACCACCGGCAGGAAACCTCGGGCGTTGGCACTCAGTTTGTGAAAATCCGGCCGGAGGCTGTTCCCTTTGTGACGTCATAACTCCGTGACCTGACATGACCCGGTCAAATTTTTTTTTTATCAGAAGATGCGCAAGATTTGCCTCATAAGGTACCCAAAATTTGGCGGCGCTGCGCGCCGCCGTTTTTGCACTATTTCCGAAAAGCCTCAGGGGGGGTTGCACCAACCCCCCCCTACATGGGCGAGGGTTAAGTTATGACCCCATTTCACCACACGCAAGTGGCAGAAATGACAATGATCAGCTGACGCATTTATCTTGGCCGAAGTCAGAGCGCGCGGCCCGACGCACCACCACCGCACCACAAAGTATGAGCAGAAGCCGCGCCCAAAGCCAGGGCCCCGGTAACGTGAGGTAGCCGAGTCGGGGCAGCGTGCGCTGGGCCGCTGACCCAAGCCGGGGCCGCAGCTTTGGGCGCGGTCTACCGCATCCCCGCGGGCAGCCCCGGGCTATCACATGACACCGGGAGGACGCGCGGCCCCGGCTCGGGTCAGCGCACGCTGCCCCGACTCGGCTACCTCACGTTACCGGGGCCCTGGCTTTGGGCGCGGTCTACCGCACCACCTAACAGGCATGTTCGAAACCGCAGGAGATGATGATGAACGGGTTTATCGAAACTTGATTGGATGAGCATATCGGTAATAACGATTTCAGTGTGTGCATTTATTGTTCATAGTGGTGTGAAATGTGGTTGGGGTACGACCGACAACCCGTTGGGGCGAATTTTGCACTGGGGTACTCAAAATTTGAAGAATTTAAGACGTTTCCATGAGTTTTGAAGGTATGGATAAGTTCTAAAAATCCGGTTCTCCTTATCTGGGCCATTAACTCCATACGGTCCAGGAAAGCTGGCACACTACCTTTAAGGCTCGACATTGTGTTGTCTACGATTAGACAGCTGGTAACTCATTCCCGTACGTCGTAACTCTATAATGACCTTTGCTTATTGTCACATGTGCGCCGCATTCGCGATTGTTGCCGACGCCTGTTTGCAGGTCAGCCCACTACAGTTGTTATACATATCGAAAAACCGATAAACTTTTAGGCGAAAAAGGCACTATTCCAGGCCCATTTTTTTGCGATATTAGGTAAAAACAGAAGCTTCTTGTTCTTATCCTAGGAAAAATAAAATGGGAAATCTTTCAAAGGTGGCACACTACCTTTAAAATCGAATAAATGGGTTGTGATTTTATAAGCAATCGATGCCAAATAAACATCAAAGCCCTGTTAGAAGTCGTCGTATAACTCGTTTGCGATTAAACTTACAGATTTCGGCTTCTGTGACTAAAAGGACATAGTACTGATTCAAATGGAATCGCTCGGCAAGCGGAGTTACGTAACAAAAAACTTACCGTCTATATGTTACAGGGAGTTTGAGAAATCCGTGAGTTTGCAAACTCCCTAGGGAGTTTGCAAACTCCCTGACCCATCAGTGAGTTTGCAAATTCACTAGGGAGTTTGCAAACTCACGGATTTCTCAAACTCCCTGTAACATATATATATATATATATATATATATATATATATATA